CCCACACGAGCTGAGTAGAGTCGCCCTCTTCTTCTCCTCCGTCGTGATATCATTCGCCTCCAGATGGAACTCAAACCTCGTGAGGTAAGAGTCCCAGTCTTCAGTAGTCGGGTCGAAGCATTCGAACTTCTGGCTGCTCGCGGCCATCGTTATGCGCACAGGCGGAGCCACCAGAGCGGGTGGAACCTGTGGCTGGCCGGCCTCGGCGATCTCCTCGTTGTCCGACATGGGGTCCGTTCTAGCGGGGCTGCCTACCCGCACTAGCATCCCATCCTCGTCGCCAATTGTTAAGTCGGGCGCTTAACAAGAGTCGGAGAGTGATTTCAGCAAGAATGCGGTTTATTCTTCAGCTTAGTTACAGTATAACGATCGCCAGCCAGAATCCATCATCAGAACAGAACGAGACAGCCTACATACACTGGCTTGTCGATATTTAAACATTCCCGGCTAGTGTAGCCACACCCCCTGTACAAATAACAACCTATGAGGTTGAAGATATAAGGCCCAATCACAAGCGGTCCCGCTTTACAAAGTGATTGGTAGACACTCTCTGGGCTAGGACTCCTATTGGTTACATTAGGATCCTAGCCCAGGCTGAAGCTTAACATTGGTTTTCAATCAGGCGATTCGCATGTTAGTATCTACATTCAAGTCAATACATAACAATGACCATCAGTTAAAAACTTTAAAAACGTAAACAAATTATGTGCAGGGGTAAAATGGGTCTTTTGTGTCATGCTCCGAGAGGCTGACAATTTTTGAACCACCCCCCTTTAAAAAATCGAGAAAGAGCTGTTCCCTTTACCAACTTCCCCCCTTTGGTTTTTTCACAGCACTGAGAATATTTCCCGCTAGTATCTGCCCTTCATGTCACTGTTAATACAGCGCTAGAATTGATTTCTGTGTCTAGAAAAGCAGTCGATTAAAAATCCCTTCGTAACAACATACGCTGTAGATCTTAACTATTTCGTTCGCTCGTTCTGGAACAGTAGCGTTGCTTGTGAGAGCCCTGCAACAGATTACCTGAGATCTGCTGCCCTCTTTAGACTCCTCCAAGCACCTTCCTAAACGAGCAAGGGGGCAGAATCCGATCAATGCGGATTCACTAAACGTGCATAGTGTTGTTGTAATAAATCCAATGTTCGCTCGAGAAAACAAATCCGTTGTGTGCTCCTAATGGTTTCATTAACGCGTTTCCTCCGATAAAGGATCTTAATAACACCCCGATATTGTTCCGGATGAGGGTTCCCTCTCTTTCTCTCTTTCCGGGGACAGGAGCGGAAGACAGCTTTGGAGAGAAGGAAACAAGCAAAGATATAAGGGGAAACCGCGCCTGTTTAATATGTTTTAGATATGTAGACAGGAAATAATTGCATTTTCTGCCCGTGGCCGCAATGCCTAAATGCCATTGCACTCAAAGGAATTTCGAGATAAAGATATCTGGAATCGGGCTACGGACAGAAGCCTAAACTACCGCAGGCCGTCTCAGCGGAAAACAAGGGCCGCATCCGGATCGAGCCCCCACCCCAACAAACTGTGTCTCCAAGGTTCCAGTTGTATGAAACAGGGTTGTTTTTTTAATGCTTGCGCACGCGCAGTCCACGGCGGAACCTTCAGCCACGCCACAGAGAGCCACCGGTTCGACATCGACGTTGCACTTCGGTGCCTCGAATTTGGTTGGGGCGGCTTGGTGTCCTGCCTGCGGCTCGTGGGGCTCTGTGTGTTTTATAAACGAGGAGGTCCCTGCAAGATGGCTTCCTTTTTCCAGTGAGGAGGAAAAGGAGCTTGCAGGTGCCGTTACGTACGTGGCTGTCCTGACGAAGCCGTGGTCAGTCTCCGAGCACCCATTACCTTTGGCTGGCTCCGCTGGGTGCAGGTGGGAAATTGCGACTGGCCCGTTTCCTTTTGCCCCGCAAGTGACTGGCTGTACGGCAGCTTTGTCCGTCATTCTCTCTTAGTTCTTCTCCCTTGCCCTCTTAAGCGGGCTGGAGAAGGGGGAGGGAGGGACAGTCAGTAGCTTCAGCCAAAATCTGGGTGTTTTCCCCCTGGCCGGGTAAGGCAACTATAAGGAAGAACAATTGCCCCTAATTTGGAATGCAAATTATTTTGGTCTCGAAATGTGGTAGTCTGTTGCATTAAAAACAACAGCAACAGTACAAAGAGGCAGTTTAAAGACAGACCAGTTTGGGGTAAATGAGTTAGAGCCTATTTCATAAGATGCATGAAGTGTGTCTTCAGTTCAAAGATATGCGCCTAGATGGGAGAGGGGAGGAGATTGTGAATGGTGGCTGTTTTGGACTGTTGTGTTTGTCTCATATATGCTTGAGTAGAAGTGTCACATACTATACTTCTTCCATTTTATAGCTTTTAAACCCCACTTTTCAGGATTTCTTCCTCCTCCATGTGAGTATGTATTTCCAAACTTCTTTGTTTGGCTTCGAATAATAGTTGGAAGTGTGGGCACAGGAGGGATGGCAGGGATCATCCATAAAGTATGCCCTCAAGAGAAGAGATGTAAAAGGTCTGGAATAAACTTTAAAAAAAAAATGCATGGGGGGAAAAGTTCTCCCCAACACACAATTTTTCTGATGAAAAAATGGGGACATCTTGGAGAGCACTGAAAATGTCTCTTTCTTCTTTGAATGAAATGCTCTTTAAATACAAGAGTTTATTCATTGAAATATACATAAAGAAATACTGAGAACTCTTTTTTTTTAAAAAATCCAGTGGTTATTGGGGGCACTGGAAAAAGCTCCTATGAAAAATTTTTTTAACACAGGGTTTTACTCATTCAAAATGTACAGCGTTAAAACTGGGAAATCTGGAGAACTGCAAAAAAACCACAACCCTAACCCAGAATTTTTAAAAAGATTTAGTATGAGTTAAATATTTTATAAGATGAAAGTTTACTCACTCAATGATAGAAAAATTGGAACTTTGGGCTTAAAAACCTTTCTTGTGGATTTTTTAATGAAAATTTAGCATCTCTCTTCTGGAAGGTAGTAAAGCTGTGACACAGGAAGAATTTTGTATTGCTTAAGTCCTGTAAAAGTGTGCCGTGCTTTCAAAGATGAGCTGTCATCATTTGTTGTTTCCTAGCAGGTGCCTTTATTTACAACAGCTGTAAGACTGGCAGAAATGTAATTGGTGCTTTTTTTTGTCTCGTTGCTTGGGGGGGGGGGACTGCTGTTGAATTTTTTTGTGGTCATTAAAATTCTGGAGCTTCTATCACAGATTAAACTGACTGCAGTTGACATACAACCCATGGCTACATGTAATTTTCTTGTCTTTCTAGTTTGTAAGAGACTGATCTTCCCTCAATGGACAGTAATGGGTCTGGCTTGGGAGAAGGTGATGGGCAGGCCACCTTTCAAAACCTCAGTGGTGAAGATAAAAGGCAGTGGCAGCAGGAGCGCCTAAATAGAGAGGAAGCCTATTACCAATTCATTAATGAACTCAGTGATGAAGACTACAGGTTAATGAGAGACTGCAACATCCTTGGGACTCCAGGTGTGAGATGTGGTGTACCTGTTAGACTTTTATCTTGCCCTTCTTTCAAAGAGCTCAGGACAGAGTATATGTTTGTTTCCTCCCTTTTATTCTCTGCTGTAATTCTGAGCGAATGTTCATGTAGCTATATGTTTAATTCATCACTTCGAATCTGTAAAAGAAAAATGTATAAATGAAATAATACTTATTCTGCCTTGTCCAAGGAGATAAGGCAGGACAGAAATGTTTTAATTATAATAAGTAAATGCAGACATAATTTACGCATCACCTTTCTCCCCCAATAGGACCCAAAGGAGCTTACATTGTTTTCTTCTCCTCCATCTAATCCTTGCAATATCCCTGTGAGGTAGGCCAGGCTGAGAGTGTGACATTGGATCAAAGTAATCTAGCAACCTTCCATGGCAGAGTGGGGATTCCAACCTGGGTGATACAGATCCAAGTCCAACACTCTAACTGCTGTACAAAAATTTGGTCCTAATGTACCTAGGGAATACTTTAATTCTAGTTTTCTGGATTCAATTGGTACTTGTATTTTTACTATAAGTATCGCAAGTGATAGTTTCAGAGGGTAGCTGTGTGGGTCTTCAGTAGGTCAACTAGATTCGAATCCAGTAGCATGTTAGAGACAGCAAGATTTGAGGGGTGTAAGCTTTTGAAAGTCAAAGCTCCCATGGTATCTGATGAAGGGAGTTTGACTCTTAAAAACTCATTCCCCAAAAAACTTGTTGGTCTCTATGTGCTACTGGACTTGAGTCTAGTTGCAAATCATGTTCCTGCTTTTTGTTTGTTTGTTCCTTGGCTTAGAAAGATGCCTTCATTTATGCAAAGCAGAAGAAATATAACTAACAGTCACATGCTAGATTTTACTTCCTTAAACTTTAAATCTGATTCTAAAACATATTACACAGGGGGAAGTTAATTCCAAGATAGGGGACCTCAGAACTGTAAGCAACGTTTGTCAAAACTTTGGCAAGTAGCTGCAGTGTTGAATCTTACTGTCTCTCCTGTTTATCAGAAGCTTTTGCAACCCAGTCTTGTTTCTTGTCATTCCAGATTATCCCCTATGATCTCTTTATTGATTTCCAAATTTTATTTCTTCCTTTCTCTTGTACGTCATAGGTTAAAAAAACTGCTCTGTTTGTGTGTACTGTTCAACCAGTAATAAAATTGACAATATCATATACAACGTTTCAGGAGAAATAACAGCAGATGAGCTGCAGCACCGTTTGCAAGGCGCAAAGGAGCATCTGGTATCCCGATCTGATGCAGAAACTAGAGAAGGAGAGACAGTTAGATGTAAGCTGTCTTCTTAATCTTCTCTGTAAATATTTAACAAAATAGTCTTTGCTAGATTGCTGTTAAAACACTGAGTTTTCATCTACAGTCTTTCTGTGAATAAAGCTAAGCTAATGAGTCGGGAAGAGCTACAGTACAGGAAAAGTGACATACATACAGCTCCGGAAGCTGGTCTGCAAGGTCTACGTGTCACCTTCTCTTAGGGTTCCAGTGTTATGTAACTGCTTCCTTAAGACCCATTTTTTTCTGTTCTCTATGACCTGTTTTGCATTTGTGTAGTATCATTGTCTTACGAAAGTGGTGTGAAAACTGCCCAATATGTCTTTATTTCGTATTTATCTATTTATTTCATGTATAGCCAACCTTTCTCGCTGATACAGTCTAAAACAATGCAAGTAATTAGCATGAGGCAAGTAATTAGCACAAGGCATCCAACAAACAATGCAATAGGACTAGGACCACAAGAATTAGAAACAAGGACATCTGAGGTTAGAACTTCTTTTTCCCCTCTCCTCAATAATTACACATGACTAGATTAGACTTCTAAAAGCAATTGTAATGATAGGACATCTGATACACACTGCTTTAGTAACTGCTGTTAACTAGTAACTGCATTAAGCTTCATATCATATGTCAGACAACTGAGTTGGGAAAGCATGATAAAATCTTACTTTATAGTGTCACAACTACAAACTTGAGTGAATGTAAATTATGCGTAATTCAAATGGATGTAGTTAGAGCATACTATGGTGGGTACAACATACTGTGGCAGGGTTTCCCAAAATGGTACCCATGGGTGCTGTGGCACGCACCAACACCTTTCCTGGTGCCCCCAAATGTTCCTAGAAAGTGGCTGAGACCAGGTGGGGGACTTGCCCAGCAGGGTGTTTTGAGTGGCCACTGGGAGAGCCTATTTGCTGTGCTGATTAAGATTATATTGTGTCAGTGGTGGCTGCCACCACAGTGCTTTGTTTTGTTCTTTCTCGCTCCTCTTTCCCAGTGAATTTTATTTTTAATTACCCCTCTCCTCCCCTGCACTTGGGCTTCCTCTGTGTATGTGTCTTCGCCTCCTGTAGAAACCATTTTCTGGTTACACTCACCATCTTGTGTCAGAACTTAAAAGGTGCCCACAGTCTCAAAAAGATTTGGGACCCCCAGTATCATAGTTTTCAGAGGAGGAGCATGAGCAGTGATTTTTGTGCAAAAATTGGGGGCCTGACAAGTACAGATGTGTGCCCCTAGTTTCTGACACACCCAACACGCAGCGGTTAATGTGGGCCTTAATACAACCATTCAAGATCCATTGTCACTCATGGAAATTGCTTAAGTTGTGCCTGCCTCCTGTAAACTTTGCAACATTTGTTTATTTTAGGAGGCTGGCTTTTTAGATTTCATAGCATTTGCAGTGCCTCAAGGGAAGTGGAATGTGATGACTGATTATGCAGTCACTGAAGATTGTAGTTTCAGACATTCAGTTTATCAAGAATTGCAATGGCTTGCCTTATATTTCTAAAGTCTTAACACCTTGCAAAATGTGTTTTATTTAACCGCTTACAGATTCTGAGACTCTCGGGCTAAACCCAGCTAGTGACTCTCTGCCAGAATGGCAGAATATGTTCCGTCGTGCAGGAAATTCTACCCACAGTGAACAGCGGGGGAACCAGCCTTGGAGAGCTGTGAGCCGGGTGAGCCCAACTAACAGAGGATTCCAGTTTAGTCTTGAAATAAATATAGATCATGAATATAATGGTGGGGACGGTCCCAGTGAAGAATTTGATGGCATCTCACATGGCTACACGATCAGAAGCCATGCAGAAAATACACCTCCAATAGCAGATAGCCCAATAGCCAGCCGGACTAGGAGCAGGGTACTGAGAGAGACATTTAGCCATGCACTTGCCACCTCTAGAAGTGGTAGCGAAAGTGGTTCGGTGGTACAAAATGGTGAAGAAACACCTCGACTTTTCTCGGGCAGACACAGCAGCAGAAACAGCAGGTCAGCAACACACAACACCTTTTTAGATGACAATGAACACAACATTATCAGGCAGAGGAGAGTACCAAGAGTTCCATCAGTGACCCTTCACAGCAGGAGAGCCAGAGCTAGAAATTGGAGGAGGACAAGACAAAGATCAGAAGCGTTAAGGAGTCAAAGCCAGACCCTGTTGGAAGGACAGCAACGTAGGGATACTCAGCAAATCCAAAGGAGGTCTAGAAGGGTGCATACAGTCCATTCTCCCCCACAGCAAGGTGAAGTGCAAGTGCCATCACTAGATATAATTGTGGAAGAGGAGGCATCTGGGAGATCCACAACCATACTTAGAAGACATCCTGCTATTACATTAGACCTCCAGGTAAGAAGAATTCATCCTGGAGCATTCAGAGATCAGCAAAGGATCGGTGTAAGAACTCCCTCAGGAGGAGGCACAGCAGAAAACTTGGTCGCTTCTGAAAACAATAGTGAGGGTTTTCATTGGACCATTTTACAGCCTGAGTACGCAGGCATGCAAACTTATGGTAGTGCCATACGTATACCTCCTCGCAGGATATCAGAAACTGGGCTCGGGGAGTCTTCATCGGTGGCTGTTAGATCAATCATAAGGCAAATTATGACTGAGTTAGGAGAGCTAAGCTCATTAATAGACATTGAGTCAGATCATGAAATTCAGAGGGGTGTTCAGCACTTATCCGAGATGCAGTCAGAGCTGTCTAACTTCCAAAGTCTAAACAGTATCAGTGAATTCAGAGAAGCGTCACTCGGAAGCAGTCCTGCTCAACAGGATAGGAGGGAATGGCATGGAGAGACCAGTGCTCTGCAGCGTGGCCATCATGGTGATGGTGGAACTCAAGATCCCAGTCAGTTTCAAGATGCAGACAATTTACCTGGAAATGGGACACTTCCCATTCTTCGACTCGTGCCTGATCTTTTGTTAGATGACTTTATCACTGACCGCTTGAGGGGATTAACCAAAGACCAAATGGACAGTCTTTCCACTCGCAATTATGGGGCCACCGGTGCAGAGGAGGGTGAAATAAGTAAGACCTGTAGTGTATGCATTAATGAATATGTGGTGGGAAGCAAGCTCAGGCAGTTACCATGCATGCATGAGTTCCATTTTCATTGTATTGATCGTTGGCTTTCTGAAAATTCCACTTGTCCGATCTGTCGGCAATCTGTAGTAACCTAATATCACAGATGGTGGAGAACTCCTCAAATTCCTGACCCCACTGAATCCATTGGAAGCTGGCTGATATTTCAGTACCATTTTGAATAAGGGGAAGGGAACTGATGTTTACAACTGGAGAAAATCTGACTATGTTTGGGAATGAACAAATCTCTTTTTCTGGGTAAAGTGCACATATAAGAGCAAATGTCATTCTAATGACCTTCATATAAAATTATAATTTTCTTTTGGCTTCCAAAGCATAGAAATGTAATACCTTGTGCTGATGAGAACCTGATCTTGTTTCATTTATTCAGTTTGCTTTATGCAGTTATCAAATAGTATTTCATTTAGGCTGTGAACACCATTTGTTACAAAAGGGTCTTCCTGGCTATATCCAGGATACTTGGCAGAAGATACTTAAGTTACTTGAAGTGTTTTAATATGTGCATATTTATGGATATCATTAACACTGTGCACATTTGGGTTTATTTTATGGGCAGTTTTTGTATGTTCTGCCATCTTCCTATTTCTGTGTTGGCTTTCAAACATTAAAGAATGTTTAGGGTGTCTGATATAACATTACAACCAGTTCCCATTACTTGGGTTTTTAACAGCATCTAAAGGTGAAAACTGCCAAGGATAAGAGACCTACTTACAGCCTGCATGCAGTATTTTTGCTTGCAATTTTATCAGTTTACTGTAAAACTGTCATAGATATGTAATACTTGTAGTGACATTGGTCAATCTAAAAGAAAAAGCTTCTTGACCATCAAATGCTATAAACTGTTAAGAGAAAATGTACATCAGTTGCTGAGTATCAAGCACAGCTGTATAACTGGACCTTAAGGTTTATATTAATACAGGAATAAAACTGCAGAAACAGAGAGTACACTGTGTGGATCACTTGCATGCCATCAACTAAAAGCTGAATGAGAAGTTTGTCATTTGTAGTAGTTGAAAGCATGCGACTCATTGCATCTAGCTTGCAGAAAACAGTTTCTCTCCCCACCCCCATATGTATGTATAAATTTAGATTTAAATGATGCCACATCAGTAAACTCAAAAACTGAGTCCAGTTTCCTTGTAAGAGAAATGTTTAATGGGTGAAGAAAATGTTAATATACATGGGCCCCGGTCACACGGGCAGGAAAATGCGGGGGGGAAGCATGGCTGTTTGCCCCGGAGCAAAATAACGTGCGGCTGCACGATCAGACATCCCGTCGAGGTCCCGTGGTTAGGGGGGAGGTGCCGATCAGGACAATCCTGCGGCGCAGCAAAGAAGCGGCCTCCCTAGCAAAAGGCTCCACGGGATTAACCCCTTCCAGGGCTGCAGAGGAATGCAAACTATGTCCTCCTTCCGGTCCCCTCCAGGAGGAGCTTCCAGACACTCTGGAAGGACTACTTTTACTTGCAGTTACTTAAGTTTTGGGGGAAAGAAACACCAGTCTAGAAAACCAGTGGCCATTTTGTGTTTTTTCCTGCTATGCTGGGGGGTACTTTATTCAAGGGGATATAAAATCAGACTCATATGTCTAATTCACTTGAAACTTGGGGATTTTTTAGAAGAGAGGGTGGACTAGGTTTCCTTATGTTTTGATACCATTTTGTGAAAAAAATGTCTGCTCAGGAAACTGCCATTTTCTACATGTGGAAAACAATCCAGTCTTAATGAAGATGGAAATGGAGCTCGATCAGTCTTCATGATGCGACAACATTTATGATAATTCTTAAAACCAATACACTTTCCCTTTCTTAAATTACAATATGGAATTAAGTTATCATTCTTTCAGTGTACGTGCCTAATCCCTTTAGGGCATAACTTTCCCTTTTATTCTTTAGTGTGCACATAAACATTAGTCCAGTCCATTGTGGGGGATGGAAGGTTGGTGTGCCTCTTCTGTAGTCTTATCCTGCTCTCACCCTCTGCTTCCACTGTAGACTGTGTTGCTTGAACTAAAAAGGAAAGTGGGGTATAGATGTTTTAATAAATGATTGACAAGGGAGGATTGGATTAGGAATGTGACAAGTGTGTGCAGACCTCTCATTCTCCATAATGGCCTGGTAAACCGAGTGGCCCAGATTTGGGGGGGGGGGGTAGCAGGCCCCTCTACATTCTGTAGGGATTCCTCTGAATGTGAATTCTAACCTGTGGCAGACTGGACCGAAACCAATGTGTTTGACAGATGGACGTGGTTCAATTTTAAGGTACTCTGTATTTTGTTCTTATTTAACATAGATATTTCTATGCAATTTAAGTTTCATTTTAAACCAGATCTTTTTAAAAATATGCACCTATAATAAAAACAGATTTAAATAAAAATAATTAAAATTGTAATAGGGTCAATGATTTTCATCCATGCTGGCCTTCAGAGAATAAATGTAATACCTGACATTTTCTAAAGATATTACTTCCACTGCTTCATGAAAAGTTAATGTAAATGTAATCTTATTTTAAAACCCCTGCAGAACTCATTACATTTCCAAGATGAGGAACTATTGTTGATTGCAGCCTTCAGTTTTATGTTGCTTTTGACAAACTACCTGAAGTTTACATGAATGAAGCCTTATGTAGATTTATTCATTCAGCCATATGCATCCCTCAAATAAGTTAGTCTGTATAAATTTGATCAGACACCTCTAAAGTCAACAGCTTGGTAGCTGAGGCTAATAGCTTCAGCAAAGACTGGTTGTTGGAAATAGAGTGCTGTGTAGTTGTGGATGCAGTGGAACTATCCATGGTGCTGAAATCTTTAACGTTTGTTTAAGGTCAGTAGGATAGGTGTAGCTTCCTCTTTGCTATCGTCTACTTCTGTGACTATATCTGGAAATAAATTCCATATAATCACTCTCAAAAACAACTATAATGCTCCTGCACCCCATATTCTCATGTCAATAATTTATTTATAGCCACGTGACTTGAGAAGAATGGGTAAGAAGTTGTACCATAGAGGTTCTCAAGTTTTAGTTCTCTTTAAGTAATACTTTCACTACAGTAATAGCTATTGTGTAGAATATCCAAGTTATTTTTAAAGTTGCCCTTCTATACTTGTAGGCCCCTAGGATAACAGAACATTGAGCCTCCTTACCCAACAGACTGATTTAGGAAGTCCCTGGTTCAAAAGTTGCCACTGCCATGAGATGACTTAAGCAACAACCTCAGTTCCCCATTTGTCATACTGGGATCAAATTGAACTAATCTATACGGTTATTCCAAGGACAACTGAGGTGACTAAATGCCTATGTCTTTTGCTGTGCTTTATTATTATTCTATTTTATTCTTCTAAAAAAAGACTGGATGTTAAAGTCCCCCGATATTAATAGCATATTACAAAACTCCTAAGACCATCCTTAGCACATTTATAACCAGGACAGGCTGTGACTCAATGGTCGAATGCACATATTGCATGCAGAAAGTGCCAAGTTCGCTCACGGGCACCCCTTGAAGTCTCTCTGGTAAAAGGAATTGCAAAGGTCCTTTCTGCATCTAAGGCTCTGGAGTCACTGCCAGGCACAAAAGACAATACTGAGCTAGATAGACCAACAGCCTGACTTGGTATAAGGCAGTTTCATATGTTCAAATGAAGCCTGCAGGGCCAGGGTATGTTCTCTCCCACCAGCTGCAATGTGCAGAAATTTTCTTCTGCGCATGGCAGAACCACAGACCATCTGCATATTGCTATTAATCTCCCTGCCCACACATGATCAACACCCTAGTTATTCAGACTGAAACAGAGAACTGTGGATTTGAACTGGGCAGCTGCCTTTTTACTTCTGGGGAATCTGATGCAGGATCAGCTTACCTGAACAGTCCCAAATGCTTGCCATATAACACTCAGTGGGTTGTTCATTTGCTCTCAAGCCTGATCTACTTCATAGGGTGGTTGTGAGGATAAATGGAGTAGCAGAGAACCAACTCAGCCACCCTGTACTCCTTGGAGTAGGGGCTAAGGGAAAAATGGGATAAATTACATATAATTTAAAATGAAATGCAAATATTTTCACTGTGTTTGTCGTCAGTCATGTCTCTTTGAAGACCATGTGGCTAAACAAGTTTAAATGTGTTATTCCAGATTGAGTCATCTTTCAGTCACAGCTTGACTTTCCAGTATGTCTGAAAACGGAGCAGCCTGCCCTTTCTTTTGCTTAATGTAAACATTGACTGCACGTTCAATGAGTGGCCCTATTTCCTGTTCTTTGCCTACACTGACCTCTAGTGTCTTCTGACAGCTCTGAACACAGAGGGTAAAGATGGCTATATTTATGCAGGCTTATGTGCATTAGAACAAAAGCAAAACCTAGGAGGCAAGCTTTAAATATTTCCTCATTTGGAAATAGCTGCAGATGTGAACTTGGATGTGAACTCACGGGAGATTGTTCAGTGTGTATGTTTTCATGTTAATTTATTCAGGGCTAATATAGTTAAAGTTCTGCATTATCCTACATGGTATAGTTTACAATTTTGTCATTTTCATCCACCTCCATGAGTGAGCAATGCTATTCAGTTGGGAGCCTCAAGCCCTGTGTATGATCTAGCTGTTCCTCCCTGCAGTTCTCTTACCAGGACTTCTGTTTAAGAAGAAGAAGATAAGAGATTGGATTTATACCCTGCCCTTCACTTGGTGTCTCAGAGCAGTTTATAAACTCCTTTCCCTTCCCGTCCCCACAACAGACACCCTGTGAAGTAGGTGGGGCTGAGAGAGCTCTTTCCAGAACTGTCCTTGAGAGAACAGCTCTGACAGAACTATGGCTTGCCCAAGGTCATCCAGCAGGTGCAAGCAGAGGAGTGGGAAATCAAACCAGGTTCACCCAGATTAGAGTCCGCACACTTAACCACTACACCAAACTGGGTGGGTCCAGTCTCAGAGATTATCTAGCAAATTCCACTCCGTTGTTTAAACAGGGAAAAAACAATCTTTGTGCTGTTGGGAAGAACTAGGAACAGCCCTTTCCCTCCTTCAGGTGGGTACCTTTCTTATGAACCTGTAGTGCAAGTATTACTTTCAAGCACTTTCTACTGCAGGGCTTCACAAGCTGTGTAAACAGTTCTCCAGTGACAGTAAAACAGAATGGTATAGAGTCAGGACTATAGTGGTGAATGATTATTTATCTTTATCTACTTAGTACGTATGTGTGTGCGTGTGTATGTATACAGCCACAAGACTTTCTTGGGATCCTATGATTCTCCCAGTTTAACCCAAATATTTTAAACATGATGCTATCATTCACCATTCAATTGTTTTCTAACATTTTTAAAGCACTGCCTGGTATACAAAGTATTGCACAATT